GCTCCCATTAGGAGGGGGGTCTGCGAAGGAGTCGCGCAAAAGCGCGGCGAGCTCCATGTGTGTGTGTGTGTGTGTGCGTGTGGGGGGGGCACAATTTGCGTGAAGGCCGTGCCGCATCGGGCGTGGGCACGCATTCGCACACACTCACTTGGGCCGTAAATGGAGCTCCTTGTTGGGGGGCAGCATGCGATGCCTGCCACTGGGGCCGTAGGTGGAGATGCCTCTTTGGCCACTGTCCGGAGTTTCGCTGAACACTGTACGTACGAAATCGATGGCGCCAAGAGAGAGCTGGATTCTTGCGTTTTGGATGCGAGGACCGCATATGCCATCGAGGATGCGGAAGCGAGCGACATTGTTATTGGACACGATCATCGTGCCGTCAAGGTTGTCTTGAAGATCGATGTGCAGCCGACGCCAGCGCAACCCACGCAGCAGCAAATCAAGTTTCGGACTTTGCGGCGCTGGAGGCCATCCAACGATGAAGAATATCAGAAGAAGGTCGATCTGCAGCTACAATCATCCTACCTGACTGAAAAAATGGCTGGCCATTGGCGGACATCGAACAGCGACGCCAGCAAGTTGAAACTATAGTGTTGGATGATGCGGCGGCTTGTGACGAGAAGGGGCGCACCACTTGCTGAGGCGTATGAGATGGCCGGAAAACGTTTGCGCGAATTGATCGCCAGAAAACGTTTTGCAAGACTACTTGGCGTGGAGAAAGATGTCAAAGACACTTGCGAACTCATCCGCAAATAGATCCGCACCGTGGCCAGAGCTCGAAAGAACACGCGGGTCAGCCAAGTCCTGCCAGAGTTTCAAGATTTTCAGAGGATTGTTGATCTACGTGGCAACGGCAAGATGTCTTGCATTGCTTGCGCTCTGGACGCAGAAGGGCACGTGAAGACGCAGTCCTGTGACCTTGCCGAGGTGTTCGCAGTCTTTTTTTTCGAATCGTTGTATAACGGCGACGGCGGAGAGTTTCACCACTCTGGTTCGCATGCCCCTGCAGAGGCCGTTACTCCTAAGACAGGGTCGCAGCTGAATAAATGGCGCAATCGCACAATCGCTGATGGACACGGGGTCGTGGCTGAATTGTTCCATAAAAGGAAGCGGCTTGTTGATGCGGGTGATTGCATAATTGTTTTTTGTTGTGATGGATCCCAAACCAAGTGTGCCAAAATGTGGGAACGCATTTACTATTCGAGCGATCTTCAAGAAAGGGGACGAGCGCTTGCCGGAAAATTACAGACCAATCTGTATCATTCCCATATTGTTCCAGCTATTTCGTCGCGTGCTGCGTGATCGAATCAAGGAGCGTTTAACTGCTGCACAAACTTTCGACCAAAATGGTTTCAGGCTGGGCTTCAGTTGTGATGATCATTTCTTTGCTATTACGCTGCTGGCAGAAAAGTGCCATGAGTTCAACTTGCCACTATGGATTGCCACCCTGGACTTTAAGAAGGCTTTCGATTCAATATCACATGCGAGCATCTGTAATTCGCTGGCGGCTCACGGTGTGCCGTCCGTTTAGGTGAGCGTGTTGCCCCGGTTATACAGCGGTCGACGGGCGCGCATCCAGTGCGACGTGAAAAGCAGAGAGTTCGAGATCTGAAAGGGTTATTGTCAAGTGTGTTTTTGAAGCGGTACTGCGCAAAGTCAAGATCACGTGGGATCGAAACGGTAGGTCGCACATCAAACGCATAATTGCGGACGTCGACAGGGGGGTGCGGACGTTGGCCTGGAGCTGCATCCGGCCAAGGCAAAGATGCAGCACAGTCAAATCGGCGGGTGTGGAGGGAATGAAGATCGACGTTGCGGGGTCGTCTGCAACCGCTATGTACCTGGGCAGAGAGCTGTCGCCGACGAGTGCCCGCGACGTTGAGCTCGACCACCGCCTCGGAAAACCGCGGGCAAAGTTCGGCGCTTTCTAGCAGGGGCTGACCAGCAAGTCAATCCCGGCGCGCCTTGCTTGCGCGGCTGCGGCAGCTGGCGACGGCAGCGGCGCGGGATTCAAGGTCGAGGGCCGCGCGCGAAAACATGATCGGGGCTGTTCTCGGCCGACGACGCGCTGTCGCGCTGGAGGCTGAGCTCGAGACGCGTGCGAGTTGGGTGTAGTGCGTCACGGTGGAGGCACGGCATCTGATGGAGAAGCTCAACATGCCTGGCTGGACAGCGGGGCGTTTTTCCAGACTGCAGCGCTAGAGTCGCACACGGGGCACGAAAGGCTCAGCATTGGGATCCTGCTGGGCGCGGAGCCCGAGGGCGCCCAGCGTCGAGATGGGCAGAGCGACTTCCGCTGAGCCCTTAGGGCGCGCGGCGCCCTGCCCCGTCCTGTCGCTGGCCAGGGGCGCGCCGACTGGGGAAGGGCCGCCGTGCGAATCCTGGCGCTGGGACTGGAGGTGGAGCTCCTCATGGAAGCCGGTGGAGGTCCTTACGATGGCTGGAAAACGTGGCAGCGGCGGGCGAGGTGGGCGCGAGGCCGCCACGCGGTCACCGCCGCTGGAGCTCCGCGACCTCGAGGCACCTGCTTTCCTGCGGAGCATTGTGGTTCTTTTGTTTCCCCGCTTGGGTCTTCTATGCTCGGGGCCGCCCGCCTCCGCCGCTGGTGTTTCCCCTCTCGTTCGATGTCGCTCGCGTCCTCCTTCCTCTTCCCCCCCCGCCTTCTCCGCTCCGCCTCGTCCTCTTCCCCTTAGCCGTTTGTCGTTCGAGCGGTGTTGCTGGCGCTATTCTTCGCGGCGGCGCCCGGCGCCAGCGGGCCCATTGAAACGTTCCGTTCTATTTTCGCGTCTCGCGGCAGCGGCGGCGGCATAAGGGGGCGGCGGCGACGGCCGCGGGCCCCCGCTGCGAGTCCCCCTCCGCCGGGGCGCCAAGCTCAATCGCGCCACTACGGTGGCCACTCCGGGTTCAGCAGCGAGCGCGGGCGGCGGTCGGCGCCCCCCGACAGCTGAAATTGCTCGCAGTTCGGGCGCGGCAAGACCGCGGCCACGTCGCCCCGCAGCATGCGCTGCGGCGCGGATAGTCGAGCCTGCGCCGGCGCAGCCCCGCGGACCTCGCGGCGCGCGATCTCGTCTTCGCGGGCAGCCGATGTCTGCCGGGTGCATCGCCCCTGGTTTATGGCAGGCCCCCCCGCCAGGTCCTCAGCCACTCGCGCATCGGGGAGTGGGCTCGGGATCGGCACCCTCCGCGTCGGGGCCGCCGCGGCCCGCCGAGGCGGGGCTCCAGGTGCCGTTTCTGCCGTCGCTCGCCGCGTTCAGTCGCAGGCGGAAGGAGTCGCGCGCGGGCCTGAACGGGCAGCCCCCCCGCCTCCGGCGGCAGCGGTGCTCGGGGGGGGGTCTCGTCGTCGTCTGGGCTCGGACGGTCAGAGCTTTCGTTCGTTTTCTTTTCGGCCAGTGTGCCCCCGGACACCCCCCCCCCGCTACTCGCTGCATTCGCCATCGGAACATCGCCATCGGAACAGAAGGCTTCAGAGCGCCGCGGGTCGGGGGTGGGGGCCCCGCCCCGCGAACATGTTCTGCGCCCCGATTTTTCTTCGGGGCGCGGCAGTCCTCTGGGCGGCCAGCGTCTATTGAGGGGCCCTCTCGCCCCATCCACTTCCCCCCGAGACCGAGTCGTTCCGTTTGAGCGTCGTCTCTGCTGGCAGCAGCTCGCGGGGGTCGGCGACGGACCGGCTGCTGGCTGCCAGCGCCAACTCAGAGGTCATTCTTGCCCAGGAACACAATCTCGCGTCTCAGGGGGCGTTGGGTCGCGCCCCGGTCAGAGCCCCAACGGCCGCGGGCCTTGGGGGGGGGCCCTCGGCTGGAGTAGCCGTCCTCTACAAGGCCCATTCGGGATTGCATGGGCCCCGCTTGGTCCTCAGCCCCCTGCCGAGCATTGGCGGCCCTGGTTCGCGCCCCCCAGGGGGAGGCGTTCCAGTTTTGTTCGGTTTACCTTGGTGGCTCTGACGGCCTCGGCGAGGGCCGCCGCGATTCTCGGCGGCGATTGGAGCGGCGGGGCCTGCCTGCGGGGCGCCTTTCAGGGAGCAGGACATGGGGCCCGCAGTCTTGGGGGGGTCATCCCTCGTCAGCCCCCCCAGCGGTCGGGTCATCTGGAGCCGCGAACCCACCTGCTTCGCTGGGGTTCCTAAGGGCATGATCATGTCGTTCTATCTTCAGACGCGGCGAAGGCGACCCAGAGCATCGCCCCTATCGGGGGCGCCCGTTTCTTGCCCCGCCTTCGAGTTCGGCTTGATTTTTACGCGGGCATCGCCGGGATGCGCGACCTCGCTGTCAGGGCGCCGCCCCCGCTGCCCACTGCGCCGCCCGCGGGGCGTCGGAGCGGGAGCTGGCTCGGACCTTCGGGGTTGAATTGCGCGTCTGGGGGTCGATGGGGCAAGGGGCGTATCGCCTGCTGGAGGCCCATCACCGGGGAGGACGAGTGTTGTGTCAGACGCCCCCAGCTTCGCGCCTGCCGCTGGCTGGCCAGTACTTTCATGCGCTTCCATGGTGCCGTCCAATATGCGGACCGGCCTCAGGCTGGAGGAGCGGCCCGAACCCTCGCGTCGCCCCCGCAGAGTTCGCGCACGCCCATCCCTGACGTGGGGCGCGATCAAGGCCCCGAGGTTCCGAGTTGCGCTGGTTTTCCCGACCTCCTGGACAGGGTCTCTGAGTTGGTTTCGGGTTGCCTTGCGAGCAGCATGCCGGATGGCATGGTTCAGGATCGCGCCGAATGCTTCGGCGAGGCGGCTTCCGATTTGCGGAGGGATGTTCCAGTTTTTTCATGCGACCCAGGCCCGCGAGAACTGGGCCAACTGGCCCACGGGAAAGGTGGGCGAAGGATGGAGGAGGGCACGCTCTGCCGCGATGGATCTGCAGGCCTTGAATGTCAGCGCCACTCTGCTCCGCGGGCTGCGCTGCCCGACCCGCAGTCGCTCTTGGCCGACGAGGCCTAGCGTTTTCGCTGCTTGCGGGAGGCGCGGGGGATCCCTGTCGGGCAGTCTGGCGCGATCGATGGCCCTCTGCCTCCCATCCCTCCTGATGCCAGGGGGGGCGTTCCGCAAAGTTGTCTCGCCGCTCCGCGGTGGGACGGGGCGGTTTTCGCTTGCGCCATTTTGCGCCGCTGTCTGAATGGGCTTTGGAGGCTCTCTCGGTGTTTTCGGGGCAATGCAAAAGACGCGCGCCCCCCCCCAGCTGCGCGCCGCCATTATCGCAATGCTTCCGCAACCTATCTCTGGAGCCGGGCCAGTCGGAGTTGTCCCGGCATGCGCCGTTTGCGGGGCAAGTGCTGTTACGTTTATTCCGCGCAATGAGAACCTGCTGGCCAACGCGTTTTTTTTTTTGGGCGGCTGGCCAGCGCAAGTCGGCCAGTGATGTCGCGTGGAGACAAGCGGCAGGGTCGGAGAGGTCTCGCAGCCAGTCGCAGCACGCCTGCGCCCTCGTGTGGGACTTTGTTAATTATTGCGGGCGTGTCCTGCTGGAGTCCTTGCCGTTTCGTAGTGTCAAACATCGACTCCCTGCTCCAATTGCCTCGGTGCGTTTGACGGGCCGCTGTGCCGCTCGGTTTATTGTTTCGGGGGGTGTCGCGTCGAGGCTCATGTGCGCTCGCGCCAGCGTCGTCGCGGGGCGCAGTTTTGTCGCGACGTTCATGAGGGCGTGTGCCTTGGATGCGTTCGATGGGGCGGCGGTTCCTAAGGGGTTCTCTTTCGACGCTTTGAGCGCCGCTAATTCCATGGAGAGCATCTGCCGAGATTTCCCAGCCGCCGCCCGCCAATTAAAAGTGGTTGTGTCCGAGCTGTTCCGCGCGGGTGTTTCTTTGGAGACGGCGGGGCTGATCTCGTCCTCCAGAGAGATTCCCAGGCGCGTCCAGAAACGGATGGGGAAGCTTGGGAATTCGCGCGGAGCCCAGGTCAACCTGGAAATCGACGACGCAGCGGGGCCTGCCCGACGCGCTCGGGGCCCCAATGCCCGCGCCGAGGCCAGAGTGGTCGAGGCGAGCCGCCCCAGCGAGCTGTTCAAGGACGCGGGGCCATCGAACTCTGCGCGTCTGTGCCCCTGCCAGGATTCGCGCGCGGCAGCGAGGTGCATCGCTACAGCGGCGGAAAACTTTGACAGATTCGGCGTTTGTGCGCTGCGACGATGAAGCCTGCTGTTGGCAGCCGTTGCTTGACCATCTTCTTCGGGCTCGAGGGGGGGGCTGTTGGTTTGGCTCTGTGCCCCTTGTTGGTCGCTGGTCTAAAGAAGTTTGGACCAGGCGCGCGATGGTTGCCGATGTTTGTTTTCTTTGACGTAGCTCAAGGAGCTCTGGCACGCTAGTTTCCCGTTGCCTTTGACCTGGAGGGCCGTCTCGGGCCCCGCGGAGGCTCCGAATGGGCTAATTAGGTGGCAGATACCTCCCTTTTCCACCTCGTCGGCGGCCGCGGCGCGCCCCCCCCCCCCCCCTCCTCAAGGCCCATGTTAAGGAGGGTGTCTGGAGGGTCTCGAGCGGGAAGCCGTCATGGAGCACGGGTGCGAGGGTTCCGATCGCTTGTGTTTTGACGTCGTCACAGCGGCCATTCGGTTTCAGAAACTCACCGCTCGGAAAAATGGGCCATGTGCTGTCTTGCCCGCCGAAGTTGCGCCGGCCCCTGTTTTGGGCTCGCGAGGCGGGGCGCGACGTTGAGGGCGTCTGCCCGCTCTGCAGGGCCCCGGGAGGCTCGCCGTTTCACGGGGTCTGGGTCTGCCCGCGCGCTGCCGAGGAGCGCGCCGCCATCGCCCCCCAGACATTCCTGGGCGGCGTCGTGGGGGGCGCGGAAGCTGGCGGCGGGGCAATTCCGGTCGCGCGCGTTCCAGGCCTCGTGGGCATCGGGTTCTTCCCTGGCGGCTTCGAGGCGAAGGCGTGGACGCCCCGCCCCCCGACCCCCTCCATGTGGGGCAGCATTTTCATGGGCGGGTCGTGCGCGGCGAAGGTGGCGCGCGCGTCCGCCGGGGCAGGTTGGGGTCTAGCCGCGCTTGGGCCGCCCAGCCACGTGCTTCCTGTGGCCCGGGGCCCATTCTGGGGCGGCTGCCCTCGGACTCCCAGGGCAAGCGATGTCGCGACTGACGCGACGGCGGGCGTCGTCGAGTCAGGCCCCTTTCAGCTTGATTCCGATTGTGCCAATGTTGTCAGCGCGCGCAGTCTGCCTCCCGGTTTGCAGCCCTCGCCCCGGGGTCCTTGCGCGGGTTTGGTTTTCCAGGGCATACCCTGAGATCCGACGTTTTGATTTTTTCAATGTGGAGTTCCCGGAGGTCTCGACCTATTCCCCAGAACCGGCTTTTCATCCTGAGTCGCTTTTTTGACGGTCCCGGGGCCCGGCGAGGGCCCCTTGAGGCCGAAAGTTGCGAAAAACTTGCGTCTTGATTTTTTCAATTCGTTGGCTCTCTGGGTATCCCGCGGCTGCAGAAATGTTGTCGGGCGGGTGCGAGGAGTGTCGCGCGCGTCGAGCCCTCGGCCACCCTGACAGCGACGGGGCCGCTCGCGCTGGGCGCGTCGGGAACGGCGCGGCCGACCGCGCGGCAAAGAAAGGTGCCGACGTGCGCCCCCGGCCGACGGAGGCCGCGCTGGGGCAGCATTGGGTCGGCGCTTTCCCTCGCCACTATGTAGGTTTCTCTCGCGCGCGTGCTTGGCGCCCGAGAGGGGTGCGCTCGCTCGGCCAGGCGGGCCCCGACGGCGAGGGCCTCCGTTGGCAGCAAGAGCTCGAGCGCGCAGTGGATGCAATGCGATGCTCCTCCGACTCCGCTCCGGGGCCGGGCGGCGCCCCGCGCCGCGCTTGGAGGCGGGCCGAGCACTTCGCAGCGCCAGCTCTGCGTGGGGCGGCCGCTTCCCTGCGGGGCGCGCGCGCGCGACCTTCCCCCGGAGGAATTTGACTCGAGCTGGTCGCGCCGCTGGCCGAAAAAGGCAGCTGGCACCCACCGGGGCCGCGGTGGGCATTGCACGGCTGACAAGACAAGGCCGCTGTCTTCTCTGAATTCAGACAATCGTTTGATTGCCAGTGCCTATCGCGACCTTCTGGAGCCGCCGGCGGGGAAAATGGCCCCCCCCCATGCAGCGAGGCTTTCTGTCGCGTCGTTCGTTGCTCCGCGATGTCTGCGACATTGACCGCGAGGGCGCGTTGGCAATCCTATCGGAGAGAAGTTCCGCAATCATGCCGTTCGATTTTGAGGCTGCCTCCCCAAGTCTTTCACGGGAGTTTCCATCAGAGGCGCTGGAAAATATTGGACTGCCACCTGCGCTGTGCAACGTCGCCCGCTGTCTTTGCCGGCGCAGCGCTCGCGCAACCAAGCTTAAGGGCCAGATTTTCGACATGCTCGAGATGGCCAGCGGCGCCCGGCATGGGCGCCCTCCGTCGCGTTTGCTCTTTGTCTTGGTCATCGACATGCTGCCTCGCAGAATGCAGCGCATGTGGCCTCCAGCCCTGGCGAGGGCTTTTGCGGGCGACAACGGCAGTATCGGTTCGCACCCGGTGGCGAGCGTTCTCCGAGCGCCCGAGGTATTCTGTTTGTTCTTAGGCCTTCGCTTGGGCGCGCCCGAAACCGCGGCGGCCCCCCCGCGGGGAACTACGGGGCCCAGGTTCCGACGCAGCGCGCAGGACATGATTCAGGAGGGGAAAAAACACACAGACACAATTAATCGGCGATTCCCAGAAAATATGGGAAGTGGGGGGGAAGACAAACACCCAGAAAATCTGGGAAAATATGGTGGATATTTTTATTTGTGTGTATTTATTTGTGTGTCCCAGTTCCCCTTCAATGATGCCCGGATGGCCCGGCGCTCGCGCTGCAAACGGCGCCGCGCACCCCTGCCTCGAGGCGGGGCCCGGTCGCTCCGAGGACTCGCGGGGCGAACTCCCTCGCCCCGCATGCAGGGCGAGCTCGCCCCTTGGGGGGCGGGGCGCGGGCTCGGATGGCATTTTTCACGCGCGGGTTATAACGCGTTCGCTGCCTCGTGCATCTGGCATTCCCGTGGGCCGATTGCGGTGGCCCTCGCGGAGGGGAGGCGCCTGCCCTCGCTCGGCCGTCGTCGGGCCCGGGCGGTTGGCGGAGCGCCGCGGACTCGTGCATCTTGAAGGCTCTGATCGGGTTCCCAGTGGAAGTGATTTGTCTGTCGGGCGCCGCGCGGGCCGCTAAAGTCAGGGTCCCGGGCGCGGCCGTCGCATTTTTTCTTTCGGCGCAGTTGGCCGAGGCGCAATTCGATAACCTCTCACTGGCAACAGACGCCAGATGGAGACAACGGCACGCTGCACGCTCCGCTTCCGCTTTGAAGGGATCCGTTGACCACGCTGACCCGATCCGCTTCTGTCCTCCCGCCGCGCAGACAGAGAGCTGCACGCAGCGCCCCGCGCGCGCCCGAGCAGGCGGCGGCAGGTGGAAGCCCGCTTCCGGCATGAGCTTTGCGAGGCGGAACGCTTCGTCGCCAATGGGCATTCTGGCCAGGCGGGCGCCCGCCATTTCTGCCCGACTCCGCAAGCTCACTCCTCCGCGGGTCACATCCGCTGTTTTCAGGGCCCCGTGGAACAGCTGGTGCGCCGCGAGAAGATTTCAAGAAGAAGGGCGTGCCGCTTCGGTTGCTCGAGCACTGCTCGCGACTGCTCTGAACATTACGCGTATTGCCCCTTGGTTGCCAGGCTAAGAACAAGGCCTCTGAGGCTCGCAGATGTTGGCCTGGACAGCCTTTTTGCGCATAGGGCGTCAGAGACGCCACCCTATCGCTCGAAGCTCTCGCAACGTACGCTGTTCACCGAGCTTTGAACCACTTTCGCGGCATACCTACAGTAGGGGTCTTGAAGAAGGAACCCTTTTCGTTGGGGAGGGGCTCCGTGTTCCTTGATTGTTTCACAGCTTGCCTCAGGGTTTCCCAAGGTCTTCGATGGGGAATCGAAGTTTAACTTATGGGAAAGGAGGGGCCTCGTTCCTTATTTAGGGTTCCTTAGGTCAACGCCCCGACTGTACGCCGACTGTCAGGACGGTCGATGACACTCTCGAGCAGTGGTGCAAGGCGGGGGCTGCAGGGCGCGCGGCTCCCTCACGCGCACTCTCGATGCGAGGTGGTGCTGTTTCGTAGTTGTGCCACTTTGTGTATTATTGTCTGGCGAGGTGGGCGGAGCTGGATGCGCCAGCCCTTCTCTGTCTCTCCCTTTTTTTCTCCTCCCCTCTTCCCCTCCCTTCCCTTCTCTCTTTCCTTCTCCTCGTCGCGTGTCCGCAACCCTTCCGGCAAGGAAGAAAGAGCCACACTCTGTTGACCGGTTGCCCGTGCCGTTGTTCCATTGTGCGGTGTCATGAGGTGGTTTATTGATGCGCTGTCTGGTTCTGTGGGGAAGAGGGGGTCGCCTCCGTTGGCCGAACTCTCCCGGTGCGCTCGGTACGCTGTGTGCCCTGCTGCCCCTCTTTTTGGCCCCCGTGGCCCCGCACCGACTTGTCGGGGGTGGACTGGCACTCTCAGTCTGTCAAGGTTCCTCGGGCCCCCCCCCAGCCCCATCAGTGTTTTTTTTTTTTTTTAAACGCTACTCCCATTCCCAAGGAAGTTTTGCGAGGGCAATCTGGAAGAAACCTACCGCAAGAAACGCGGCGCTACCGATAAGATCGTGCTTGTGGATGGGTCCGCCGAGTGGATCCTAACGTTCTGGCAGTGCCAGAGGTGTGTGTCCGCGGTGCTTTCCGGGAGCGAGGCCCGCGCCGGGCCGCCCTTTCGGTCACTGCAGGCGGAGACCCCTTTGGATTCGTGCCCACACCTCGAGGGATCTCAGTCACAACTGCGCGTGGTCCGGCTGCTCGAACGACGCGCTCGCAGTCGTGTGCGCAGCCTGCACGCGCCATGCGTCTGGAGCTCGCGTGGTCACGCGGGGCGAGCAGTGTGCGGGCCCTCGCTTCGACCCTCGAGCGGGAGAAGCACGTAGAGCCAGGCCCGTTGGAGCAGGCTTTGCAAGATTCCACCCCGAAGAAAACGCATTCATTTTGCTTTCTGGCATGTTCAGTGCATTTTAAGCATGCAGCGCAGCGGTCGTGCTCAAAAGAAGTCCTCCTCCTCCTCCTCCTCCTCCTCCTCCTCCTCCTCCTCTTCCTCCTCCTCATTCTCCTCCTCCTCCTCCTCCTCCTCCTCCTCCTCTTCTTTTCCTTCTGCAGCGTAAGGAGGACGTCATCTGTTCCTGCCATGGCGCCCATGCCCGGCGGCGCGGTTATTTCCAGGGTCTGCTATCGGCCTTGCGGGGCCTGCCTAGGGCCCCTCCCCAGTGCTACACTGGATTTCCCCAGTTTCGGTTGGCCGCCGAATTTTGAACGACGTGATTTTCATCAGCTTCTGCTGACATACTCGGTAGCTTTGAATTGAAGCCCTTTCATATTTAGGCCGCCGAGGCCATCGACCCCGCGAGAATTGGATGCAGTCGTGTATTCTGCGCGCTTCCATGCCGCGTTGCTATTCTGTATTCCTCCTGCTCCTCCTCCTCCTCCTCCTCCTCTTGTTGTTTTTTCCCTCGTGACGTGGGTAGGGGAGGTTCATGCGGGACGCTGTTCGCATCCTTGTGAAGAAGGACGAGCTGACGCTGGAAGGAGGGGGGGGGACGGAGGGAGGGGAGGGGAACTGCAGGAAGTTTGAACAGGATGATGAGAATGAGAGGGGGCGAGGATGGGCAGAACGAATGGTACAGGGAGGCAGGGAGGGAAAAGAGGAGAGGGATAGGGGAGGGCGCCCATCTCTCGCCTCCTCTCTTGCGTTCTTCCCTCCTTTCTCGCGTCCTTGTCGCTCCTTTGTGGGTGTGCGCCTTGTCGCTGGTACCCAGATGGACCGTCGCCTTCCGCTCGGGTGTTGGGAAAGCCCTTCGGATGGGGTGCCCCTCTCTGCGTGGCGCTGCCAGGACCGTCGGCCGACAGGCCCAGCCCCGGTGGCCACGTGCGTACCTCGAGGATGAGCGTGTGCCGCCGGGGCTGTTGGACGGCGTGGTTGGCTGGAGCGAGGGAGAAGGGGGATGGCGAGAGGTAGACGGGCGCGCTCCCTCAGAAAAAGGGGCGGTGCAAGGCGGTGCCGGGCGCGCGGGGCTCTCCCGCGAAAAGGGATCTTCGGGCAGACGTGGCCGGGCATTGCGAGGCATTCACCATGCTCTGGCGGAGTGACCCCAGGCATCCACGCATGCCCCGGTGGGCTGATTGTCCCCGGGCGCCGGCTGTGCGCGGGCGGGTCACCACGCCTGGGATGTGCCGAGGAGCGCCGGGAAGGGCCGGAGGTCCCTGGGGCAGCACGACATGGGGGGGAGCGCCCATCAAGGGAGTTTGTCTCCACGCCCAGGCGGGGGGCGACACTCCACCCGGGTGCCCGCAATGGGACGCACCCCAAAAACAAAGCCTAGGAGGGAAGAAGGGAGGCGGGAGGAGAGAGCAAGAAGAGACCAGAAGGCAGAAGACGGGCGCGCCGCGGGGAGGTGTGAGCAGTCACCTGCCCCCCCCTCCTCAAACGCGCGCGCGCGCCCGCCTGAGGCTGAGGAGGGGGGGAGGAAGAGGGAGGAGCGGGGGCTGTGAAAAAGGCGAGGGGCGGCGCAGCAGGAGGAGGACGAGGATGAGGATGAGGATGAGGATGAGGATGAGGATGAGGATGAGGAGGAGGAGGAGGAGGGGGAGGAGGAGGAGGAGGAGGAGGAGGAGGAGGAGGAGGGGGAGAAGGAGGAGGAGGAGAGGAGGAGGAGGAGGAGGAGGGAGGAGGAGGAGGGGCAGCGCCCCGTGGGCAGGCGAGCGCGCAGCCCCCTGGGCCCTGTCTAGCCCCCTGCGTCAGCGCCGCGGGCGCGCGCCCTGGCTTAGCTCGCTCGCGTCTGCGGCGGGCCGCTGGCTCGCCGCTGGCCCCGCGGCGTGCCGCCCAGCGAGCTTCGAAGCAAGCGCAGCGGAACGTCTCCGCGCCGCCGCGCTGCAGCATCGCCGCGGGGCTCTGCCGCGCCGCCGCCAGAGCACGGCGGCGCCCCCGCGTGCCCAGGCGCGGTGGAGCGCCTGCGCCTCGTGCCCGACTCTCCCCAGAGCCTCCAGCGCCGAAGCCGTCGGCGCTGGACCCAGGCAGCGCGCGTGTTTGCTCTCCTCCCTGACCGCCGCGGCAGCGCCAGCCCGGACGGCGCGGTTCCGGCCCGCTGGCGTGTCCGCAACAGGGGCGGCGTCCGTGGTCACCACGTCGACGCAGGCCACGTCGCACGTGGGGTCCGTGAAAGCCACATCAAGGCGGTCGGCCTCGACGGTGCCATCCGAGCGCGTCTGGTCCCTGGCGTGCACGTGCTGCTCTGTGTCCCCGACAGTGTCCGTCGCGCCCGCCGAGCGCAGCCAGTTGGCGAGCCAGTTGGCGAGCCAGTTGGCGAGCAGGCGGTGGATCTTTGCGCCGCTGACATGGCAGCCCAGAGTCGGCCCCGCAGCGCGTCCCGTCCTCCTTCCTCCTCCTCCTCCCTCCCTCCGTGTTTTTTCTTCACGTGCACAGCAATTGAGGCTATCGCCTCACCCACCTGGTCTTTGTTAGGCCTAGTGGTTATCCACAGAGGTGTTCGTTCGTTCTCCTCAACCCTCCTCATCCTCCTCGTCGTCGTCGTCGTCCTCCTCCTCCTCCTCCTCCTCCTCCTCCTCCTCCCCCTCCTTGAACACCTCCTCCTCCCTCCCTACTCTCTCCCTTGCTCTCTATTTGTTTTTACCCCGAGCCTTCCCAGCCACAGCGATGGAGTGGCCGGGAAAGGTATTGATCTCGCGTACGTTGGGGTAGAGTAGGCGTGCCCACATCGCTTCTTGCTTGTCGGCCAACGTCGGCTTCACGCCCTCTTGACCTGACCTGATCCCCCTTCGGGGAGGGGGGCGGGCGCGGGCGGGAGAAGGAGGGTGGTAGTGATGTTGAGGAGGAGGTTGAGGAGGAGGATGATAATGATAATCGGCTACAGGCTCATTTGGGCCCCCTGCGTTTTTAGGAAAAATCAGCATACCGTGTTCCACCCCCTTTCTCGTATGCGTCTTTCTCTCTCCTCTCTTCCTCCTCCTCCTCCTCCTCCTCCTCGTCCTCCTCCTCCTCCTCGTCCTCCTCCTCCTGCTCCTCCTCCTCCTCCTCCTCTTCCTCCTCCTCCTCTTCCCAATCGGATTCCATTAGCGGGGGCGGAATCCAGCAGAACCTTGGGAAAAACCAAAAAAACAATCCTGAGCAGAGATTCGGGGGCTGGGGGGTGGGGGGGGAAGGTCTCCTCAGGATGTTTTTTTTTTTTTTCCCCCCCCCAAGGGTTCTACTGGATTCCGCTCCCGATACTGGAATCCGATTGGGAAGAGGAGGAGCAGAAGGAAAAGGAGGAGGAGGAGGAGGAGGAGGAGGAGGAGGAGGAGGAGGAGGAGGAGGAGAAGGCGGGGGAGGAGGAGGAGGAGGAACAGGAAGAGGAGGAGGAGGAGAAGGAGGAGGAGGAGGAGCAGGAGCAGGAGGCGGAGGGAGAGGAGGAGGGGGAGGAGGGGGAATAACAACGAGGAGGAAGAGGAGGAGGAGGAGGAGGAGGGGGGGAGGGAGGGAGGAAGCGCGAGCAGGCACGCCGCACCTCGACCGAAGCTCAAGCAGCTCGCGGCGCGCTCGCGCCGACACCGCGCCCTTCGCCCCGCCCCGCCACCCCCCTGGCATGGGGAACCCCAAGCCAGGAACGGCCGCCCACGCGAAGAAGAAGGCGCGCAACGCCGCCTACAACGCCCGCGAACGCGCGGAGAAGAAGGCCGCCGCCCTCGAGGCGGTGGTCGAGCCTTACACGAGGAAGATCGCGCGGCTGGAACACAGGGTGGGCGGATAGACAAACCTGGCGGTGCGCACGGTGCGCAACGTGCGTGCCTTGTGCGCAGTGTGCGTGCGCCATGTGCGCGCGGTGTGCCAGGTGCGCGTTATGCTTCATGCGTGCAGCTTGCGCCGCCCCAGGTGGACTTGGTGCGCGACCACAGGCGAGACTTCTGGGAGCAGCTGCAGAAGGCGAAGGACTTTCAGAGGGGGTGGCACTTCGCAAAGCGACAGAAAGAGAAACCAACTGCCCCTAGGAGGAGCTGAAGGAGACCCAGCAGCAGCTGAAGGAGGAGAGGCGCGCCCGCGGGAGAGCGGAGAAGGAGCGCGGCGACGCCATTCGCAGGCTCTGCTCCTTCCAGACTTGGTGGAGCGTCTTCCTCAAGCTGTGCTTGCAGGACTGCGCTGGGGGAAGGGAGGGCGCGGGCAGGCAGGGCAGGGGGCGGCCTCAGGAGCTGCCGAATACCTTGGCATCGGAGGTCAAACACTGGTCTGAGAGCGGAGTGAGCGCATACCTGTTCTGCCAGCACTTCGGCATGGTTGGCAAGACGCACTTCTGCGCAGACTCCAGCGACGAGTACGCGCTGAGCGCGGAGCATCGCGGCCGCGATGCCGTGCGCTTTAACTGGCGCGGGCCTCGCTACGACTGCGGATGCGACACTTGCACGGCGGCGAGGCGTCGGCGGTGAAGGGCACCATTTTGGCGGGCACGCCCACGAGCCTATGGATGAACAAGCCCGACGCCTTCGCGACGCGGTGCTTCGACTACAACCTTGGCACGCTCAAGAGCGAGGTCGGCGTTGACGCCCACGCAACTGTGGAGCGCTGGATTCAGTCGTTTGAAGAGGGCGTCGAGGAGCACATGGCCAGGAAGATGGACTCTGGGAGCAGTTTCGCAGACCTGCTCGGCGGCGGCCCGCGCAAGCGCCCCGCTGCTGCGAAAGCTGCGCCGAAGCGTCGGGCCAAGCGCTCGGCGAAGAGTCGTCCAGCCCAGGCGGGCGTCAAGAAGCGGCCTGTCATGAAGCGCCCCGCGCGGTCCAGGCCCCCTGCTGCTCGAACCAGGAAGGTCACCCTGCAGGTGGACGAGTCCTTCCTGGACAAGGGCGAGCTGTCCAAGCTGGCGAAGAACGCAAGGCCGAAGAAAGACAAGCTATGGCTCTGGGGCGCCGTCGTGCAGGGTTCGCCGCACCTGTTCTTCTTCAAAGTATTGAAGTCTGTCGAGGATGCTTAGACGGCAAGCCCAGGGGCAAGCAGGAGCTGTTGGAGAACTTCAAGGAGCTGTCGCCTCCCGCTGGCGTCGCCGTCGTCTCGGACAAGTGGAGGGGGGCCATCGCGGCTGTGAAGCAGTACCGCAATGACGCTGGCCTCACCGAGCGGATGCTCCCGCACAAGGTAGTGAACCACAGCGCTGGCGAGATCGCGAACGAAAGAGGGTTCACTACCAACCGCGTAGAGCTCCAATGGTCATTGGTCAAGCGGTGGATCAGGAAGCGCTACGGCGGGACGTTGCCCAAGAAGGCCGACAGGAAGAAGTGGTCGAGGCTCCTTGCCGAGCACAGGTTCCGCACCCACATCAAGGCCAGTGGGCAGAAGGTGAGTTTCGCGGCGCTGGCAGCTGCGTTCCAGACGTGGTGATATGTCTAGAGCGTTGCGCTTGCCATCTAGTAGCGATTTATACGTTCAAAGCACTGGGTACTTTTCCAGCGGAGCTTGAGCTACGTCGGGGAAGAAGGGCCCCCCGCGCGAACGCCATGCCGCACCACCCCGATCCGATGCAGAAAACATATACCGCTGTCTCACCCATCGTCTTCGCTTAGCGGTTGCCGCCGGCGTTGCCGACGTTGCCGTTGGCGTTGCCGCGCTCCATGCACTTTTCCCTTACAGGGGGCCCAAATGAGCTTGTAACCCGATAATCATAATGATGATGATGATGCTGCTGCTGATGGTACTGATGCTGATGCTGATGATGATGATGATGGCGCTGATGCTGATGATGATGCTGATGCTGCTGATGGTGATGGTGGTGGTGTTGCTGATGCTGCTGCTGCTACTGATGGTGATGGTGATGATGGTGATGCTGCTCATGAAGATGATGTTGGTGAGTGTGGTGATGATGAAGATGGTGGTGATGACGATGTTTATGATGAGGATGAAGGTGGTGCTGCGATTATGATGATGATGATGCCACTGATGATGATGGTGGTGATGGTGATGGTGATGGTGATTGTGATGGTGATGTTGTTGTTGATGACGCTGATGATGCTGATTATACGAGGGTGACGATTATGCTAATACTGCTGATCATGATGCTGATTATGGTGATGTTGATGGTGGTGATGATGATGGTGCTGACGATGATGACGATGCTGCTCATGATGATGATGTTGCTGCTGATGATGATGATGAGTATGGTGGTGGTGGTGGCGATTATGGTGATGATGGTGATGATGATGATGATGATGATGATGATAGTCATGATGATGGCGATGATGGTATGGTACCAGTAATGGTATTGATGATGGTGATAATTTTGCTGGTGATGCTGATGCTGATGGTGATGTTGCTGCTGATGCGGATGCTGATGCTGACGCTGATGCTGATGTTGATGCTGATGATGATGGTGACGATGATGGTGATGGTGATGGTGGTGATGATGATGAGGGGGAGGAGGAGGAGAGGAGGAGGAGGAGGAGGAGGAGGACGATGTGGGTATAGAGGAGGAGAAGGGGGAGGATCCTCCTCCTACTCCTCGGTCCTTCCGCCCTTATTCTCCCCCTCACTCCTCCCGCCCCATCCTGTGCACGTGTGCCGAGTCTCCGCGGGGACCGTGCGGAGTGCGGCATGCCGCCGCTTGCCCGCCATCCGGCGCCGCACGACCCCCCCCATCCGAGTGCACACGTTTTTTTGTTTGCTGTTGTTAGCCCCTCTTCTCCTCTTCCTCCTCCTTCTCCTCTGTCTGTTCTTTTTATGAGCACCCCCCCTGTCGCATCCCCAGACGTGTCGGTAGGGCGGACCAGGCGCTTTGCCTGATATTACTTCACCACTAACGACCCTGAAGCTAGACAGTTGCAACAGCTTCACGGATGGAGGGTGGGTGGTTTTCAAAATGTGGTTCTCGCCTTCGCGCCGCGCACATTTGTTGTAACAGTTCTGCGGCAGCTTCACGCATGGACGGCGGGTGGTTTTCCAAATCTTGCTCCCGTCTGAGCACCGCGCACATCCGTCGAAAGGTTTGCAACAGTTGCATAGATGGATGGAGGGCAGGTCGGTTTCAAAACGTGGTCCTCTCATTAGCGCCGCGCACATTCGTCACGTTGGCTTGCTGTGTTGAGGTCCCAGGCATGGTGTTCTAGCACTATTTTTGAGGATTGTCAGGAAGCAGCAGTCACGTTGACTCGCGGCGCTGGAGGCCCAGGAATGGTGTGTTCAGCACGATTGGGGATTTTCAGACGGTTGGTGTCCCAGAGGGCACTCCCCGCAATGAAAACACAATCTTGTAGGGACATATGAAGAGGAAATTTCGAGGGAGGGTTTAATGCAACATCGCTGATGTGTTCTCGGTTTACACTGCTCTTCCTGTGCGGGGCGCTCACAGGTCAGTGGCTGGCCGCCCGTGGGCTCCGGAGGGAAACACTGAATCTCCCCAACGGTCACAACGAAGATGCGGCGTCTTTCTTCCCAGGTGTCTGTAGCCATGCGTACCCTTTCAGGTTCTGTCCCCGGTGCCAGAGCAAGCGAACCTGCAGTTTGTCGATATAAGACTAGGTACCTCTCGGGGGGCGTGGCAGACACGTAGCCCCATCGGCCCCCTCGACCGAAGCCTCGGGAGCGGACCACCGGCCACCATACCAACAGGACCGCTGAGTCCACCCAGCCCCGCCCTTGGGGATGATGCCCATTGAACCCGCGTCGATGCCGAAGTTCGCCGACGGATTGGTGGACAACCCACGTCACACATCGACACGCTCCCCAAGGGCTCGACATGGCATCGCCAAAGGCGACAGCCACCCTTGGGCGAGCGCGGTATCTCGTAATTAGACGCTCTGCACGCCATCCGCCACCGCAGCCGCGGACTGCGCCCAGGCGCAACACCTGCTCCTCCTCCTTCTCCTCCTCCTCCTCCTCCTCCTCCTCCTCCTCCATTCCTTTTCCTTTGAATGACTCGTCCCTGTCGCACCCCGAGGCCAGTCGGAAGGATGGGCCTGGCGTTTCGCTTGTGGTTACATTATCATTGATAAGTCGGAAGCTTAAACTCCAACACGTTCACAGATGTAGGGCGGGTCGCTTCCAAAATATGGCTCTCGCCTTAGCGTCGCGCACATTCGTTTTAAACATTTGCAAGAACTTTGCGGGTTGAGGGCGGGCCTTTTTCAAATCGTGGTTCTCGTCTTAGCGCCGCGCCTTTTGCTTGTAACCAATGCAAGAGCTTTACATATCGAGGGCGGGGGGTTTTCAAAATGTGGCTCTCGCCTCTGCGCCGCGCAACTTTGTAGCACACATTTGAAAGAGATTCACGGCTTGAGGGCGATTCCTTCTCAGAATGTGGTTTTCGCATCAGCGCTGCGCACATTCGTTTCAGGCATTTGCAAGAGTTTCACTGGCTCTCGTGGCTGACGTACCAGAAGCGGAGTTTTGAAACATTTCAGGGTTTGTCAGGGCGCAACAGTTATGTTGATTCGCGGTGCTGAAGCCCCAGGAGTGGTGTTCTGGCACGGTTCTGAATCGTCAGGACACAGCAGTCAGGTTGACTCGTGGCGTTGAAGTCCTGAGAATGGTGTTCACCTCAAGATTTTCACACGTTTGTCCCCCAGCAGGGTACTTCCTTCAGTGGAAATGAATATTTGTTGAGGCTTATGAAGAGGGAGCTTGGAGCGAGGGTGTATTGCAACATCGTTGATGAGTCTTGGGTTTGCACTGGTCCTCCTCCTCCTCCTCCTCCTCCTCCTCCCCCTCCTCCTCTTCCTCCTCCCCTGTCCTCGTGGTCCTCGTCCTCGTCCCCTTTCTCGCCTCCTTCCTCGTCCACCTCCTCGTCGCTGTCTTTCTACCCCCCTCCCCCCTCCCCCTCCCCTTTCCGCTCCGCCTTCCTTCTTCCTCCCCCTCCTCTCTCCCGCCCCCTCCCCCTCTCTCTCTCGGCTCCCACTCCCTGTTCCCCCCGTTCTCGGTCTGGTCGAGTGAGCTCGCGGCCCCTGTGTGGACAGGTATCCGGCAGTTCTACGTCGCCATCGAGAAGGAGGAGTGGAAGCTTGACACCCTCTGCGACTTGTACGAGACACTCACTATCACTCAGGCCCGCCAGCGCGTGCGCAGCGTCCTTGCTCGCCCTGCGGGGGGGGGAATATTCGATACCCCGACGCGCCTGATTCGCATCCAAAGGTGCCCAGGAAGGCTTTATAGCAGACATGTATGTTAACATTCATGTGGACATTGGCCTATTTGCTCCCCCTCCCCCTTCTCGTCCTCGTCCTCGCCCACTTCCTCCTCGTCCTCGTCCTCCCCTCCTCCTCCTCCTCCTCCTCCTCCTCCTCCTGCTCCTCCTCTTCCTCCTCCATCTGATTTCCCCTCCTCGTCTTCTCTCATCTTGCTTCTGCTCGCCCTTGTCATTTTTGAGCGGGGAGCAGCATGACATGTATTCTTGCGTCCTTTTCGTCCTTCTGCTCTCGCAAACAGAAAAGAGTGAAGCCGACACCGCGGAACGGCGTGCTCTTCGCGTGTCTTGGGTGGGCTCACATAGTTGTTGCCAGATGTCTTGGAGGTCGCGAGGGACATCGTCGTAAAACATGAGGGTTGGTTGCCTTCCACACCCTGGGTGGGCTCGCGTTGCGCTCCCCGCTTCTGTGGTTGTCGTCCGCGACACGTTCCGCCTGCGGGGACTCCGCCCCGTGACGGCCAAGCGGCTCCTTGCGAAGCCGGTAGTCCGTTTCTTCAGCATCCCCAAAAACAGGGCTAGGATCGGGATAAATCGCTCCAGGGCGTTCCGGAGCGCTCTCAGAGCGTTCCGGAACGCTCTGGAGCGGCCGCGGCGCCCAATATATGCTCCAAACCCGCTGATTCTCAGAGATTTCGAGTTATCCCGATCCGATTTTGTCCCGATCTTCGCGTCGTTTTAATCCCCGCCTGCGAATCGACCCGCGGCCCGTCCTTGTCGTCGCCGCCGTCGCTCGCAGCCCGCTGCGCGGCCCAGAGGCCCGCGGCCCGGCCTGTCCGGCTTGCCTGCGGCCCGCCATCCCCGCCGCGGCGCCTGGCTCGACTTCACTTGGGCTGGCACGCCGTGTCCTCCACCTCCAGCCATCGGCGTGGTGCATGACAGGGGGAGGAGGAGGAGGAGGAGGAGGAGGAGGAGGAGGAGGAGGAGGAGGAGGAGGAGGAGGAGGAGGAGGAGGAGGAGGGGCCGTCTGGGAGCTTTTGCCGTTCCGGGGGTTCTGGACGGGTGCCGGGCCCCCCACCGACCGCCGCACGGACTGCCCAGGGCCACGCATACTTGCGGGGGCGGGCAGGAGGGGGAACAAGGTCGAGGACGGTCGTGGAGGGGATGCGCGAGCAACTGATGCGGTGTTATCGCATTGGCTCATCAAAAGCATCCTACAGCATGTTGTGCGGCGAGGCAAAGCCGCGAGACTCACGTGTTGCACGCCCTA